GAACATTGAAATATGTTCATGGTCAGCCAACTGTATTTGCAATTAGTATATTTTTTTTTATATATATAATCTTTATTCATTTTCCAAAAGTTAAAATTACATCAATGTACATACAAAAACATTCATAATACATTCTTCAAAATACGATACCTCACTTCCTTCGTAATAGGGATGACAGGAGACATAAGGGTGAGTGCTGGGGACAGGTAAAGGGAGGGAGGAAAAGGGGTGGGGGGGGGGGGTTGTGACCCCTATCTTCACTTAGAACACTCTATCTAAACTAACCATACCATTCTGACGTGTACATATACAACTTGCGCTCAGTATAAAAGACTTCCCTTCTTTTGTATCCACATTAATTATTCTTGTGTGTGCCTTTCCTTTTCCCCTTTCCAGTTCTAGCCTGGAGGGGGGTGGAGAGTAAGTTTCAGTTTTGACCCTTCTGATTCGAAGAATTCGCCATTTGTCCTTTTCCTTATTTTCCTTAGTTTTTTCTGGCTGCTAAGTTCTGTTTTTCATATTCCTCTAATGTCTCCCAGTTAGTTTGTTTTATTGGTGACCCGGAACTTTTCTTCAGGTAGAAAGTTAATTTATCCATATCCTTGATATCTAGAAGCTTATTTAACCAATGCCCCGTGGTGGGGACATCGTCACCTTTCCAAAGTCGCGCGAGTTCCATTCTCGCTGCTGTTGTACTGTAGAAGAGAATAATGTCCTCGTTCTTATCCAGACCTAAGTCATCCCCCACTAAACCCAGCAAAAAGATTTCCGGCTTCATCGGGATTTTTTTCTTAATGATTTTTTGCGTTTCTTCCTTTATCGATTTCCAGTATTTGGCCACTATTGGGCAGGTCCACCACATGTGGTAGTAACTGCCCACTTCTTTTTTGCACTTGCAATTAGTATATTTAAGTTAGGGAAGAACTGATTACAACTCCTAATTCAACGTATGATAATATTCCCATTCCAATTTTCCCTAACAAAAGTACGACTTCCCCTGACAAATGCATTGTAATACAATTTCTTCCCAAAATTTCTGTCTTCTCAGCTCCCAAATTAGTATTGGAGACAAAAATAAAATGAAATGGTGATGGGCAGAGTTTGTACATTTATTGTTGAAAAATAATTACATTCATACAATATAATTAAATGACCTATGATGCAAAACATGGAAAGTTACAATGTCATTATACCTTGATTATTGCCAGAAAGAAAAAGGAGTACCAGTAACTACTTCCAAGCTCTGTTGGGAAACAGAATTTCAAAGTACGAGATGTATCACAAATAAAAGAAAACCTTTCTGATTAATATCTTTATTAATTACATTGTTTTGTTGTTCATTCGTTTAGTCGTCTCCGACTCTTCATGACCTCATGGACCAGCCCACGCCAGAGCTCCCTGTCGGCCATCACCACCCCCAGCTCCTTCAAGGTCAGTCCAGTCACTTCAAGGATGCCATCCATTAATTACATTACATTAATTACATTACATTACAAACTACCTAAAGACAATCATGCCATTTACCAAGATATGTTTTCAAAACGAACCAGCAGATTCAGCACACAGTAATCAAGGATTGCCAACTTCAGCCTGGCAAACTTGTTTTTATTTAGTAATTGGGTGAAATAAAACTTTCCACCATTCATTTCAGCAATTAAGTGCATGTCTCCATGGCATCTAGAGGTAACCAATGTTAGGAGGAACCTACCTGCCACTCTCCAGTAATTACTGTTTTTCAGCTGTAGTAACTGATCTAGATCCTCAGGGTATTTTTGTTTGTTTTATTCCTTATGATTGCTTTTTGAGTGATCTTAAATAACCATTTGAAACTGCTGACTTTGGAAAACTGCTACTCGGCTGCACCCTTATGTACACAAAACAAATTTAAATTACTTCATGAATTTACTAGTTTGAAACAAGGGATAACTTTGCCAGTATGTTACAAAGAACATTTCCCACATATTAACCATATTAGCACAAGGATAGAAATAAGCAAATCTATTCAACTTGCACCAGGGGCACTCATTCGCTGAACTGAAAGTTGAACCCATCTGTCCTGATGAGGAAATGTCCAACTTAGGAGTTTATTTTGCACAGAAAAAGGAAATTAAATGTCCTTCTCAAGCACAAACAAAAAAGACATGTCCTTTAAAACATCTAACTACATAATCCATTTGTCTGCGAACCCAACCCCATGAATATTTCACAAAGGTCACATTTTTCATTTGGCTTATGGAACACTTATAAACTAAGAATCCTAACTACGACTCCCAAGCACACAACAATGTCAAAGGTTACAACATGTTTTTCTTTTGCCCTCTCTAAATTACTTGCAAATGTATTCAAACACAATATGAAAAGATATTTTATTTTACTGAAAATAGCAGACTGCGCTCGTTCGAAATAAAAGCTGAGATTCATCAAGCATAAAGATGTGGGGAAAACACACTGGTTTAGAAACCCATAAATCCTTATTTGAATCTGCCAACCTGAAAGCGAAGTAAAGCCTGAAAAAACTATTTTTCTTAAATGCTATGTCTGATTAAACCATACTATTAAATGACAGCTGAACTTTAACATTAATATGATATTATTTAAATAAGTGTATGGCTTTTTTTAACACTAAAAATGATGAATGATTTTTGGACAGCTCAATTGACGTAAAGCAAGAAAACCCTTTAATGAGATTTGACAAAATGGAGACATATGCAGAATATTCGTTACAGCTCATGTCGCATAACCATTCCTGGTGAGGATATAAGTTTGCCCATGGAGTTTTTATTATTATTTTGATTGTCTACAGGCACTGAACCATCTCTTTCAATTGCTGCTTCCTTTCTCCATGGATTTTGAATTTAGCTTGTGTCATTTACATATTACTCTTAATCAGAGATTTTGTACGCTATGGTTCAGAGTTTGAATTGTGAGAGGTTTGTGATATGGAAGCAAGTGGTACCCTTATCTCAACCTTTGTCAGGTAAATATAGAAGAAAATAAAAAAATAAAAAGGTATATTTTATGAAAAGATTAAGGGCTGGTATGCATTTTAAGCAAATTCACATGCCGCTGTATCTACATGGCAAGCTGATTGTCTGCAGTAATTTCTGTTATGCATCAACCCTCTTCTCTGTGTCATTTCTTCTTTCTTTTCTTATCTACTGGTCTTCTGTCTGCCCCTTAACTTAAACCATCAACAGCTACTTGATTTCTGGCTAAGTCTCTACTCAGAATTTCTATGGGCTGACATATCTTGGGTTGATACTTCCATCATGTTGCTTTGTTACACCTTTGATACGATTATATGGCTAAATTAAGGTATTAGTCTCAACAACTGTACACTAAACGAATCAATGGGACATATACCAGTCAACTTAATATATGTCCATTCAGTGGACCTACTCTAGCTGGAACAAACAACAAGATTTAGCTCACAGTACTTCATCTTTCTTGAAACTGTTCTTGCCTTTTCATTCATTTATGCAATTCTTTTATTTTTATTTATTAAAAGTAATATGCAGACATAGAGAAACACACAAGACCAACTACTGTACACTCAAATAACCAATGGGACATATACGAGGCAATTTGATACATGTCCATTCATTCAGTGAACTTACTGGCACAAACAACAAGATTTAGCCCATAGTACTTCTTTTTCTTGAAACTGTTCTTCACTTTTCATTCATTTATGCAATTTTTAAAATTTTATATATTAAAAGCAATATGCACACACAGAGACACATAGGACCTCATCACATTGAGGTCCAAAGAGAGGTTGATAGCAGGGGGATTGGACAGGCAGCATGGCAATTCTGTGAAGCAGTGGGGAAACTAGTCACGTTGCATCACCCCCTTACCCATCCCAAGGGGGGGGGGCGTCATGGCTTGGCTTCCCCCCATGCTTTCCCCTTTCTATCCAGTGAGAACATGGGAAGTCTCCCATGTTCCCATTGCTCCGTCATAAAATGCTTTCACCACAGTACGGGGATGGAACTCCAGCAGAAGTAGCTCTACAACATTTGATAGGATCTAGCAGGCTCCATTTGATGAAGTTCAAAGTTTTTATCTTATATGGAGATGGTAAAAACTCTTGATTAGTTTCTCATTTTCAAGCATGATGCTCACTCATCTTACAGCAACAATGATTTATATTCCACCTTCTCTCCAGTACAAGAGCCAAAGCAGCTTAAAATAGTTTTCATGTTATTATATGTTAAGGAAAAACACTTTAAAAAGACGGATTTACATATAGATAGGAAAGTATGCTCAAACTGAACCAGGGTGTTATACAGCTTAAAAGGATTGCTATATATGATTTTTGAATTCCTCCTTGAGAACATGTGTAACATGAAAGCACTATGCTGGGCTCATTTTGTTTTTCACTACTAAGTCAACAAAACCAAGCCTTGTATTTCTGTTGCTTTAGTTTGAAAAATCAAAAACGTGTAGAAGTACCCTGGCCATATAATGGTCCGGTGTGCTAACTGCACATGTTAGGGTGATATGTAAATGGTAAATGCCATAGTCAATACCCTAATTTGATGAATAATACTATACTTTGGGAGTAGTGTAGTTTAATTATATGATTAATTATTTCAGTGGTGTTCTGAATTAATTAGATAGGGTGGGCATTAAATTCAAACAGACATAAATATAAACATGAAAACAGATTTCATTTATTAACTCTATGCAAATAATTGGGGTGGGAAACAGTTCTGCAACAGTTTTAAGAAAACTACCAAAAAGCAATGATATATATTTGTCACACAAAATGACGTAAATATCTACATTTTGTCTAATTTAAAATCTGTATGAGGTATGGGGAAGTGAGATCTTCTAGATGTTGGACTGTATTTCCGATTATCTCTTGCCATTGGCTATGCTTGAAAGGACTGATGGAAACTATTATTCAACAACTCCTGAGGGCTACACAGTCCCTACCCCAGATCTATAATAAAGAAGAAGAAACAGGAAGTGAGAGGTCCCTACCTTGTCCTTACCTTCGTATCATTCCCGTAAGGATCCTTGAACTCTTGCCCAAGTTTGCATCAGTTTCTCTCAGCTATGGAGAAAATTGCATACAACCAATATATGAACAGTTTATTTCTTTTGAACTATTTCCTTTTAGAGCTTTCGATTTAATATTTTTTAAAATAAAAGTGAAAATTCAAGATATCTATAAATTTAAAAAGGTGAAAACACAGAACTGTTAGTGCTGCCATAACATAATTTAAGCAGATTTTCAGTCTTAGAACCTATTTCAGCACCAGAATTTAGAAGAAGAACCCATGATATGGCTAATAAAAATACAATGTTTTGTCATGGACATTTTAAGATTACATAGCATCCAGAATGAAGAGAATAAGTATTCTCCCAAAATAAATTATTGAGATATATTCATAAGAGGTTAGAAAGGGTTTTAAGAAATATTCAGTTAGTCGGCTGATTTTGATGTTGAGTAATCAATTCATTTTGTCAACATCTCATAATATGGTGACATTTCCAACTACTGACCATTATTATCTAGAACAGAGATTTTCAACCTGTGGGTCCCCAGATGTTTTGGCCTCCAAATGCCCAGAAATTCTAACAGCTGGTAAACTGGCTGGGATTTCTGGGAGTTGTAGGCCAAAACAACTGGGGACCCACAGGTTGAGAACCACTGATCTAGAATATCCTTTGTCAGCATATTGTCCTCAAATGTTTGAATCTCCTATAATCTCATCTAGCATGGTAACTGTAGTCAAAATATGAACAAGCCTGGACATCTTTTATGTTATAGTAGACAAATGCAGCAGTAGAAAGACCAAATTTCCATCCTTGTACTCCCATGGTGGGTAGTGCTATTGTATTTTCGGCCACAAATGCATCTGGAAACAATCTGAAGTCTATCTAAAGTTTTTATTTCTAGGATCTTCAGGCCAATTTTCAATCAATGTAGAGGCATTTTTGGAGGAGGGAATACTACTTCATGTCATGTTGAGGGCTTTTCCAAACATTTTTAAATGGAGAGCTGGCGATTGAGAGGCTAAGAGTTGTATTTTCCTTAATCCTACTTTAGATGAACATAGGAAGCTGCTTTTTAATCGAATGAGATCATTCCTCCATGTAGCTTAGTTCTTTCAACCAGGAGTAGTATTGGTTGTCCAAGTTTTAAAATATTAAGTCAATTGAAAAACATTATAAATAAATTAAAGCTACCTTACTTTGTAATCTGAATGTCCTAAGATTGAATCCTGGATATTTCAAATTGAATCTAAGGTATGATGCTGGAAAGATAACTGTCTTTGAAGTTAGATATAAATATGGACTTATATGCTCCACAAAGAAAAGGCATGAAACATCTGTGAAGAGCCATCTCTAACTACCTTTGCAGAAAGAGAAATGCTAATTCCTCATTGATTAACTACTTATAATTCATTACTATGAATGATGAATTAATTCTGGTGATAATCAGTGTGAAAACAACTGCAACTAAACAATTTCTTATTATGAAACTTACTCTTTCTCGAGCACGCTGAATCTTTTCTCTATCATGACTGAGGTTTTCCAGTATGTCCTGACCAATCTGTTCTGCATGAGGAAAAGAAATAAGAACCAAAACAAATAATGTAAAATAGAATCACCATATATCATAAAGTAAAAATTTAACTATAAGGAAATCTCCTGATTGAATGTGAACATAGAAAAATTGATAAGAAGATAAGCAAGGTAAATAAGAATGGTCACCAAAACTCATTAAATAACCCTACTAGTCAACAAGAACGTTAAACTGGATACAAAACAAAAGCCAAAAATATAATATTATAAAAAATAAAACCATATTAGACTTGAAAGTGCAATGTAAAAGTTGTGCATAATACTTTGTAAGTCTGCTTTACAAATAACTGATAATTAAGAACAGGGGTGACACAACAGGAAATGAGAGAAATCTATCCCTCACAGGGAAATTCACTCCTGAAAGAGTTATCATGGGGAAATGGGGACTCCACTAAAGCTTTCTCACCAATCCTTGTTTCCATAACAAGCCAAACTTTTCAAAATCCAATTATCATAGAGTCAGAAAGCGAGGTAAAATCTCTTTCTGGCAGTAAAAATTACACTTAATCTCAGAAGGTGTGAGGGTCAGCAGGGTTGGCATACGGTAGAAAAAATAGATCTCCTACTCCATTCTTGATTCACCTACAAACCATTCTCCAGGGATACACAATAACGTGTTCATAATGGGGCTAGTAAAAGCAGACCACCAGAACAGAGGTGCAAACTTTCTGGTAGCGGGCTACAAAGGAGAAGAGATAGAATCATTGAATCATAGAGTTGGAAGAGACCACATGGGACAGCAAGTCCATCCCCCTGCCAGTTTAAAAGATGTCATGGAAGTCTCCCTTTACCATTTCAGACATAACGATTTATAATTGTTGGTGTGATGAGGTTGAAACACTAGAAACTGAATGAACTTTCAAAAAATTACATATCAACAGCTATGTAATACTTGAAGCTTTAAAAGTGTATTTCAGAAAGAATTAGGAAGTTGGCTAGTTATGGTCCTGAAAGTGAAAAGGCAAGAAGTATACAAGTGTTTATCCCCTGGTTTGTTCTTGCTTGGTTGTATTTTTTTAAAAAACAGACATTAAATTTCACCATATGACCATGTTCATGAGCAACAAAGGGCAAAACATTCCTATATTTCAGTAGTGGTCATTTAACAAATAGGAAAAGATAATTCTAATGATCAAATTGTCAGACATTTGACAATGAATCAATAATGGTTTATGTCAATTGCTGTCAAGTCAGTATCGACTTTTAATGCACAAATTATCTTGTTTGATTAGAGAAAGGCCATTATTGACATTTCTCAAATATTGGAAACCCCTTATGATTTTTTTGAAAATATATATATGATGTGATAGTTTTTGGTTTTGATTATTAGTAGGAATTGATTATGAAAAATATGTTATTAATGTTAGAGAGTGAGATATGAATAAGCATGAACTATGTGTAACAGTTAAAAATATGAATTGAAGTCATCCTTTTCTTTCTTTCTCTCTCTTCCTTTTACTTTTTTTGTTTCAAATATCTTAAGTGTAAGGTTAAAAGCATTAATTAAAAACAGCTTTGACTTGTGATAATCCTGTGAATGAGAGACCTTTACAAACAATTTAACAATAATTAAATAATTATAATAATTAAATAATTAAATAATTAATTATTATAATAATTAAATAATTTAAATTATTTAACAGTCCTACAAACTCAGGGTTAGGAAGCCAGTGTGCCGTAGTAGCCTGAATCCTTGGCTGTGACTCTGGTGACCAGGAATTGAATCCGTTTCCAGCCATGGAAACTCACTGGATGACTTTGAGCAACTCAGATTCTATAAGCCACAGAGGAAGGCAAAACACCCTCTGAACTAATCTTGCTGAGAAAACTTCATGATAGGTTTGTCTTACAACTTCATCAGATGGGGTAATTTGTTTTATTGTTTTGCAACAGAGCCTGTTGGCACCCATCCCATGACACAGAACTACTTCCTGCTGGATACCATCACAAAATTATAGAGGACCTGATGTAGGCTGCTGCAACATGGGAGGCTTCCTGTGTTCAGTTGGAATCAATGGAGGGGAAGCCGGGTGGGGGACGAGGAATGTAGGTGTGGGGCAATGGGTTCCCCCTCCACCAGGAACTGCCAGAATCACCAAGCTGCATGGCAATTCTGGTGGCACATATGATGAGGTTTTTAGTGTCACCGTTGGCAGGAAATGACTTGATGGCAAACAACAACTGCAAACACACTGGTTTCCTCAACAGAGACTACGTGGAATGGTGACACGGCTTTTAATACTGTTTTTACTGTTTTAATGAATGTTTTTACTTATTGTTTTAATTGTTATTATGTTGCTCTGTTATATGTGGTGGCATCGAATTGCTGCCAAATGTAAGCCGTCCCGAGTCCCCCTTCAGGGGTTGAGAAGGAACGGGAGAGAAATACCGGAAATAAATAAATAATAAATAAATATAAGAGTTTCTACTGTCTTCACTTTTACCAGGCATTATCATCTTTTCTAATGCATAATGTTATGTCAAAGTATGTACAATTTCTTCACTGAAGTCATTTTGGTTTCTAGGTAGAATTAAAGCTTAATTTATCACTGGACCTATGTATTTGCCTTTTTGGCTCCATAGTATCTGTAGAATCAAATTTCAAATTAGTTGATTCTCTTCCTGTAACAGCATTCTGCAATACATTTCATAAATATACACAGAAATTGGAAATACTATGGAATTGAGGATTCTGACTTTTATGATTTATTTAATGATATATTTCTTAACTTCAGGCCCTTATTTATTTCCTTCATAGCTGCCTAGCTTAGTCGTGTTTTCTTCTGATATCTTGACGGCAGTCTAAATTTTGAGTTTTGACTTAGCCAAACTATAGAAAATCATTATTTCTGTATCTTCATCATCCACCTTAAAGTCATGTAAAGTTTCTGTGGTCATTAATTCTATCTTTACCCATATTTGTTTTCCATCTTTGTAATTCACTGATCTTTAAGTTGTACAAATAATGCCTTTCACAGGTGAAAGGTGCTACAATATATAGTTATTGAGCTAAGAAACTATAAGGACTAGTACGAATTGCATGGGCAAATAAACATTAATATTTGAAGGAATATAGATTATTCATCTCTGTTCCATATCTAAAGAAAACTGAAATCAAAACTGAAACTTTTGAGGTTCATGATGAAGCAGTGAATGTGAGGAAACTTTCCGTGATTTTTTTTCATTTTTATTGTATTATTTTTATTTTATTCTGCTTGTTGGACATACTTTTTTCTGTTGTCCCAGATGCTGAGCCTTCACAGTGGCAATGTATACATGTACAAAACATTATTGTATGTTTGCACACAAATACAAATCTATTTAATCTCCCTGTGCATTAAACAATCCAATTTAACCAATGATCAAAACCCCGTTTAAAAAAGGTAAAGAAAACATTGCCTTGGCAGAAAAACAATGACAAATAATAATAACTTCAGGGGCTCCTTTAGAAAGAAAGCAACATTGTCAATCACCAACTTCTAACAACCAAGCCTTTCGCCTTGCTATCAAGACAACAGCGGCATCAACAGTAACCAAGAGTACAATTCTGTCAGCTTTGACAAATAGTGTATTTTCCTCTCATTGCCAATGACTGAAGATATCAATAAATAAAGGAAGGAGACCATGTCAGTTGGTATACCACAAAATGAATTGTTGATATGACACTCTGGGGTGATACTTTCAGCCACGAATTTCAGACTAGAACAGAACTCAAAGAATGGATATAGCTGCATTGTCTCCTAACAAATATATACAAATAACTGGAAGGTTCAACAAATCTTACCCATCACATCTTTCCCCCCCACGAATCTTGTACTGAAATAAGAGATGACTAAAATGGCTACTAGTAGGCAAACAATCATCAGAATAAAATAATGTCTGAGATAGCACTATAATCAACTAAGACTTCTACACAGTAACAGCTTTACATCCTGTGTGCATACATACAAGACAAGGATGTGGATTCAAATAAACAGGGCTTTTGAGCTTCATTCCTGATGAAGTCTTGTGATAAATCACTCTGGGGTATTCTCTTGGGCAGCGGGGTAGGGTGGGGGGGGGAGTAGCAGCATGTAAGGGCTGCAATAGTGTCAGTGCACTCATGCAAAGGTATTGGGGATTTATGCCATGATGTTCGAGAATGCTTGTGCAATTAGAAAATCATGTTTGAAGATGTCTTCTATCTGAAGGACTGTTTGGTTAAAAACTAAAGATTATCAGATGAAGAAGAACAGAATCATTGACCAACTAGACAACTAGAAAGCAGACTGGATAAGCATAAACATCATTTGGACACTTCTTCACCATTACAGTGAGGCACATTTCTGTTTACATTATTCAGTATTTTTGTATATTATTTCTGCATCCCCACATACAAATTAGCACTTGCACATCTTATGGAAATCTGTTTCCCCTTTGCCATTTTTCTTGTGATCTATAGGTGACCACTGAAATGTTGCACAAACTGAGCACTTAACTCATGTAATCGCAGAAATTTCCTGTAATCTATGTCCTTGAAGTAAGTTGATATACATATACACTTTTTAATTCCCTTCACCACATAAATTAAGGAGCCCCCGGTGGCACAATGGGTTAAACCCTTGTGCCAGCAGGACTGAAGACCGACAGGTCAGAGGTTTGAATCCGGGGAGATGAGCTCCCTCTGTCAGCTCCAGCTCCCCATGCGGGGACATGGGAGAAGCCTTCCACATTTATGATCTAATGAAAAAGTTTTGCTTAGTTATTTTAAACAACTTTTAATTATTTATAGCACTGATTGCAAATTTTTGAATAGGTTTGCAGACTGCATGGTAAAAGGACCTCAACATACAGAGTTTAGACCAAAGTTCAGGCAAGTCCTTGAAATATATAGTAAGGATTATTCTCCCTTCTCGGTACATCCCCATGTTTCAAAGGCAGAATTTCAGGAAGCATTGTGATATAGTGGAGTATGAATGGAGGCAAAACACATA